TGAGTTTATTATCGTCTGTACAGTATGTAAATTAGGTACCGTAAGTCTAATACAGCACTAATTTTATACATTTCTTGTGAAAGAAACACTTCTTATTCAACGGCCATAAAAATTATTTATATTAATGATGTCTCCAAAGGTCAAGTTATTTTTCTGCAAAAAATTCGTTATCAGAAATCACGGCCGTCGTTTCGTGTGCTGTTCCGCAACGAAAACAAGCTTTGAGCAACGGCGTAGTCGAAGGTACACACTCGGTAAGTAATCCTATAATTTTTTGTTTATAGCATAGTTTATACAGATTATTCCCAAAAAATTATACGTGTTTTGGAAATGTTGAGTGGAATTAGTCTAGAATCGGTTAATTTTATAGAAGAAAACCTTTCAAACAGCTTTAGTCTGTAAACTTCCCACCTATCGGGCTGCAATTGGCTCATGTATTTAATCATTCCTACAACGTAAAATTCGATTAATGTGGAACGTATCTAACGTTATAGGGGGGTCTACTGTATTTAATTTCACTTCCTGAAAAAATTCAAAATTTAATGCATATGTAAAGAAATATTTTAAAGTATGATTTAAATTCTAAGTTTCCAAAACCAGTAGTGATAAAATGCATTAAGGATACAAATAAAAACAGTAGTTACTTACTTTAGGCTCTGCTGCAGAAACAGCAGCAGCCTCTGCTAACAATCCTATTCCAGTTTTTAGAGCTTCAGTTGTTAAAGTACTAGATTCCTTTTTATCTGAATCTTGCTAATAATTACAATTTGAAGATAAGAGACTGAAATTCTAAATTAAAATTATATTTAAAAAAGCAGTTTCTTCAAAAACATTCTTCAGATACTCAATACTTTCATACAAGAATAAAAGTAAAAACAAAACAAAAAAACTTAAAAACATTAATAATTGATTGATGATTCCCTTTGTTAATGAAAAACATTTCTATGAATGAATTAAAATCAAAAAGAAAACACCAAAACTAAAATGATCAATAATACTGGAAATAATACAACATTTTACATAATATGTAACTGAACTTTCTACCTACTGTTTAATTATGCCATATTTTAAGATGAATGATGATACTTTCACTTGTATTATGAGATGTTGCAATTTTAAGAAATCAATGAAATACTGTACTTCAATTTAAGTTTCATACAATTCTTTAGCAAAAAATTAAAATTTTCTTCAATAGTAATTCCTATAAATAGTAAAACTGATACAATGTTATCATGAAAAGATATTTATAATGATTAATAAAAATTATTATAAATCTTACATGCAACAGCCACATCAGAAACAAAATTTGTTATTTCTAATCATCGTTCAATTCACAAACATTTGTTTTAATGAAATTTACCATGCCTTAATAATAAAACATTGAAATTAATTGCATTATTTGATAAACACTTTTTCACTAAATATTTTTATGAATCTACATAATAACTTATCATTTCAAATAGTCTTACAGAATTTTAACTGCATTACTGAAATAAAAACAGTTATAATATTTTAATTATGTTCACCTGATTTAAAAAACTAATATTGTTAACATTTTCTTACCTTTCCTTTCCCTAACAATGCAGATCCAGCAAGTGCTCCTAGGCCAGCAGCTAAACCAGATGGAAGTAAACTTCCTAAACCACCAGATTGTTTTGAACCGTGCTATTAAAATTATATAGAAAATATTCAGTGCCAACTTAAGAATACATTATTAAAAAATGTATAATAATAATTTCTATTAAAAAGTTTAAACAAAAAAATTGACAGGTATTTTCAATTGAAAATAAGCACTTACTTTAGGCTTAATTTTGTTGCCATTGTATTTTAACCCTTTGCACCCAAAAATATTTATTAATATGAATGACTCAACTCCAAGATATTTTTTGAATCTAAATACCTAAACTAAGATTCTGCAAGTTTTTTAAATTATTATTGACTCAATACTAGATCAAAAATTGCAATCTAAATATTTTACATGATCTCAAAACATTTACTTTAAAGGCTTTATTTTTTCAAAACTTATAAAATGCTTATAATTTAAATTGTATAAATTTCATTAAATTCAGTTTAATTTGGTTACAAATTAAATAAATTAATAATTAAATTAAATAACGAAATTAAATTAAAAAAGAAATAAAACTTGGAAACTTCAAAATCCTCCAAGGTATGGAAACCATCCAGAAACCATCTCACGTGCATCATTAGATTATTTAAACAAGTATTGCAATAATCACTTGTTAAACATACTATACAGTCCCTTTTTCTCCCTTTTCTCATTATATAAAACTTCTTATTTAACCTGTTATTTGAAAGTGGAGCTGGAAACACTTCCATACTCCTGACAAAAATTACCTCTCAGATGGTCAATCAAGAGTTTCACAATTTGTACAAGATATAAATTGATAGCACACATTTCCATGATCCAAAAAACAATTTTTGCTCAATTTAAGAGAATTTCTCAAAAAGCAATATGTGGGTACAGTAATACCCCAAACTTACACGATAGGTGGGACCGAGTGATAACCGCATAAGTCAAATTTGCACAAGTCAGGGTATAATTTTGCATATAAATACATACAAATTATTTTTAATTGAGGCTGGAGACTAAAGAAAACAATAATTTAGAAAAAAATGTTTCCAAAAGTCTTCAACAGAGAGCTCGTTGTTTTGTCTCATAGCTTTGTGCAGATGTGCAAACGATTATCTTGTGTAATAAGCTTTGAATGTTTTGATGACTCCCTGATCCATCGGTTGAAACAATCTGGTTGTATTTGGTGGCAAAAATACAACTTTCACACGTGAGTCAAAATTAGTTAAAGTTGCAGGGGTTGTCGATTATTAGTATCACTTTAAATGGAATTTGTTTAGATTGGCAATAACGTTCAACTTCAGGTATGAAGTGATGACCAAACCAGTCCTGAAAAAGGGAAACTGTCATCCAAGCTTTATGATTCGACTTCCAAATCACAGGCAAGCCAGCTTTCGATTTATTTTTCAATGCTTTTGGATTTTCTGAGCGATAAACTAAACCATCACTGTCAATCGATCTTTGGCGGCCTTAAAACCTGGAAAGGTACTCTTCACACACGCGATAAAAGTTCTTTTAGGCATCTTCTTCCAGAACAGTCCAGCCTCATCTACATTGAAGGTGGCTATACCAGCCAAACCATATTCATCTATCACAGCTTTGAATTTCTCTGGATAGTAAGACGCAGCCTCTTTATCAGCACTTGTCGCCTCTCCACTTTCTGCAATGCTATGCCAATTACATCTAGTTTTGGATGAATGAATCTAACAAATTATAAATCTTCTGAACAACTAGATGTAATTTGCTATAAATTTTAAGGACTTGTAAAAAAAAAATCAATTCTTCATTAATTTTAAAAATTTGAATAAAAAATATTTTGTTTCAATTACTACTTAATATTATGAAGAGAAATATTATATTTATAACAGACTTAAAAAATAATATAATACAAAAGTTAATAGATGCTGCATGGAGAATATCCTAACAATCTTTCTGAAGATATTGTTTATTGTTTTAATACTTTTTATTAACTGAAAGCATGTTAACCAAGAACACTGTATGTAATTAAAGCAGACATTTAATAAAAAAAAAATTGAAAAAAAAAAAAAAAAAAATGTATATAAATATTCAATCTAATATAAAACTGCATTACACAATTCATAATTTATGTTTTGGATGTAAAATTAAAATTGATTTATTAGTTTGTTTTTTGTAAAATTTAATTACCAAACACGAAAAATAATTTCATTTCTGACTTACAGCAATTCTGTTTTATTTATTAAGGTATAAAAAAGAAAAATATGATATTAAGTATTGATAGCATTACTTACTGGATATCCACTAGAATAACCTCCAGGTGGTACGCCATAAGGAGATGGACCATAAGGACTGCTTCCTGGAGGGACAGGTGGAGTACCATATGGATTACTTCCAGGTGGTAAAGGTGGTGCTCCATAAGGATTAGTTTGATAATGTACACCACCTGGCTGGGTAGGGTATGGCTGCTGTCCATATGATGTTGGTGGTGGTGGTATGGGATTAGAACCTGAGTAAGCTTGTGGTGGCAGTGGTGAAGTCTGAAACATTAAAATTATATATGTGAAATTCGAAGTTAATAACAGCATTTAAATCCTTTAAAACTTTAATAAATTTAAAATAAAAATGCCCTCAACCAAAAGAATTTGACCCTACAAAAACGAAATCTAAAGTACATGCGAAAATTATAACTCTTTTTGTTTTAATATAAACATTCTCACGATCAAACCGTACATAATTTACAGTTATCGGCGAAATTCGTCATATTGTTGTCATTCTAACACCACCTTTGACCCCACACCTGCTAAAACNAACTAACTTCAAAATTTTCTTCTAGATATATCATTGCTGTTGAAATATATAGTTATGAAATATGGAAAAATGATTAATAATTCTATTAAAAAATCAAACTAATTAAAAATTAAGGACTATCAAGTTTAGATGGAAAGACTTTGCTACTGCATTGGACACTTACTTTCTGTTCAGTCGCTGATACAACTGCTGCCTCAGTTAATTTTCCAATGCCAGCAGCAAAATCAGACAGTTGTTCATTTTTATCCTTAGGCTAAAATATAATTTCATGAAAAAAACATGAATAATTTCAAAATGTTAATTTATATGAAATGAAAATGTTCCTATATTTCTTAAATGAAATGAATCTAAAAGATTAACAATGAGCAAAAAGAAACAAATACTTTGATAAATGAATTTAGATCAAATGCAATAAAGAGAAATCTTCTAAAAAGCTAAAAATACTTACTTTTGATTCTATCATTGAAGATACAGCAGCATTTGTCAATATTTCTACCCCGACAGCTAGGGCAGCATCTGCTGCACTGCTGTCTTTTCCCTTCCCATTGTGTCTTTGATTATCTCCCATTTTTTCCCTTTCCTATTGAACAACATTACTCAAATGAAAACAATGTTTTTTTTTAAATAAGAATTTTAAGTCATTTTTGAAGTAATTTCAGATATTTAAAAATTTATTATACTAAATAACAATATTCGACTTTTGTAATTAAAATAAAATTATTTCAATTTAATATTGAAATTACATAATTATGATATAATTTTTACATTTTAAAACTAATTTAGCTCGTTGCCATTATCATATCATAACAAACCAACCACTTCAGGTCTTTTGCTTCAATCTTTGCTTATGTATGATAATATTTCAATAATTTTTGGATAATTTTATTAATATAAATAATAATATATTTAGTCATCATTATTATTAATTTATTTTTAAATAGAATTTACATCATAAATACAGTAAGTTCATTATAAAATTTATAAATTGGATATACATTTTCTAATTTATAATTTTGTTGTTGTTGTAGTGATTTTAAGAAATAAACTTAGATTTAATATTAAATGATGACGATAATATTCATTTCTATCTTATCTAATTACTAAAAAGCATGTTTATATTTCTTTACATAAGTATAATTTAAAACAGGTATTCATGCATGCATAGGGAGTTCTACTACTGACCACTTTAGGCTATCCAACTCCAATTTGCATTGTTTCATGGTATTCCTTGTATTTATAATTTATAGCAATTTTCTTTTTATTTCCAGATTAAATAACTGAACAATTATTAAATCTATACATCAAAAACTTTTTAATTAAAACAATATAATACAAATTCATAACATCTTGAGTGACATCTGTCTATTTTTGAAAACTGCTTATTTTGTATGTACTGTATATATGCATAAATGTTCCACACATACACAATATGTGTACATGCATGTATATATAATACATATTTTAAATTATGTTTACATTACACCAAGACAAAAAAAAATTCACCATTGTAAATTGGTCTAATAAGTACTCATGTGTAAAGAAACAATCTAATCAAACTTTATAAATGGAAATGTTTAACAACAACATTTTGACTCAATGTAGTTGAAAATATTATTTAAAACTTAAAAAAAGTGGGTTGAAAAATCTGCACTTTTGTTCTTTTAACAATTTATAACAAAATTTAATATTTTTCTAATTGATGGCAATTTTTCACAGTTGAAAGGTAAACTTTTAAATGTTCAATAAAACATTTTTTAAGATTGAAGTTGTCATGAAATTCTTCATCTTCCTGGCAAACACCACTACATTTTTTGACTTATTTGGAGCAATATGTGTAATCATTACAAAAATTGAATTAAATTAGTTGATAAAATTTTGTGAGGGATACTTTGTCTTTGAATTTTAAATTTATTTCTAATTTCAGAAAAATAAAAATGAATATGAAGAAATAGGAGGATTTCAAAGAACATTTGATGATTTAGAATCACGTAAATATATTTTTCTATTAATTTATTAAATATGTCTGTCTAATAATTGAAGTTTGAGACAAATTCTTTAAAGTACAGTTATGAAATGAAAAATAGAATTGTATGAATTAAAAAGTAATTAATCATTAATATGAAATTTTTCAAATAAGATGTTAAAAAAATTTAAAATAACAATTATTATTTTTTATATATTTACGATTATAAAAATTCTATAAAACACATATATTAATTTTTACTTCTCTGCAATATTTCCAAAAATTCATGATTTAGCTTATCCCAATAAGAAAAAAATATATGAGATACAAGAAATTAGTTTTTAGTTGCATTATGATTAATTTTTAACTTAATAATTGATTTCAAACTTTACTGTAAGAAAATTAACAAAAAGTAGAATTTGACAGTAAGATACTAAATAATTTAATTAATTAATGAAAAATAAATATGAAAACAGACATTAAATGCATTATGATTGCTACAAATTAACTCTTGCATATTGTATTTAAGAAAAATTATTTATCATTATTTAAAATATTTACAACAGATATTAATATTAACATTAAGATTTGCATTATAAATAAAAATGTAACTAAATATCAAACTCAGCCTTTTTAAACACTTAACAAAACATCAAACACCTTCTATTGCTGAGAAATGTTTATTGAACAAAACACTAATGTTTTCAGCCTAACAGAATAGGCCATCTTCAGGTGTGACTGAATTCAAACATATTTTAAAAATTTAACATTCTAATGACTGAATGTCCAAACATTATACATTCAAATTTAAAACAAAAATATTAGATAAATTAACAAATAAATATAAGGCATGATCAAAAAGTTTCCATTCGAAGGCTGTACAGTCCAGATTTGATATGCCAGTCATGCAAAAGCGCCATGACCATTTAGGCAAGCATCCCACTGCTTCACCAGGTTGAATATACTCCGTTGGTAAAACTCCAGTTTCTGTTGCTTGAAGAAGTCCGAAACTGCCTTCTGCACTTCTATGTCTGACTGGAACTGTCGACTTTTTAAGAACTTCTTTAAGGGACCAAAGGCATGAAAATTGCATGGGGAGAGATCAGGACTGTAAGGTGGGTGCTGAAGTGTCTCCCACTTTAGTGCACATAACTTTTGCATTACGGCATTTGCAGTATGGGGACATGTGTTATCATGAAGCAAAATCACTCCATTTTGAAGTTTTCCTGGACGTTTTGCCTTAATTGCATGTCGTAATCTCTCCAGCATTTCACAGTACCGTGCCCCAGTGATGGAGACTCTTGGTTCCTTGAAATCAATAAGCAATGGGCCCTGGTGATTGAAGAACAGGGTAAGATTCACTTTTCCAGCAAATGACTGACTCTTGAACTTTTTGGGATGAAGGATGACACCACTGCATGGTTGCCACTTTCGACTCAGGTTTCCAGTGGTGGCATCAGCTTTTGTCACCAGCGACAATGCGCTCAAGGAATGTGTTGCCTTCAACATTGAAATGCATCAGGTGCCACGTCCTTAAATGGAAACTTTATGATCGTTCCTTATAATATAATAAAATATACTAAATAAACTAAAACAACAGTGATATAAATGATATAATAAAATACCTTATTTACTCACATATAAGACGATCTCGCATATAGGATGAGGTGTGACTTTAAAGATTAAAATAAAGAAAATTTATTAATACAATTCTAATTTTATTTCATTTAATCACAAATAAAACATGAAATGCACATAAATGCACACATTGTCCAGCAAAAATTACTAGCATTTTAAACTTTAAGGAAAAACCTTGTAAAATTGACAACATAATTTGTTCATGTAATGCTGGATAATTGAGAACCTTTTTGCTAATTCCTAAGAGTCAAATCCACTCTCCATCAATTACATTTATGAGTTTCCCTGAATTCTGATTTCCAAATAATCATGTTTTCACATGGAAATGAATTAAAACTTATATCAGTCTCCTGTATAATTTTGGAATTCAATTCAAAAGCCTTGCTTTTCGTATTGCTATTCATCTTTACTCCTGACAATACATAAGAACGATTCAAATGACCCTGATAAAATACTTTTTTTAAACACCAGAAGGTGATTAAAACTATGTATTCACAGTTTTTTTACTGTTAATACATAGTTTTTTATTCCATTAGGTAAATGGATATGTTATGATGATTTTTTATTGTAAGATATTCTCTAAAAATAATATTACTAGAACAATGTTTAAAAAAATGTGAATACATAGTTTTCAAAAATTATTGCAAAAACAAAAGAATCCTTTGCTTGCGTGTATAGGATGACCTAGGTTTTTGAAGCAGTGAAAAATGAATAAAAACTTTGTCTTATATGCGAGTAAATACAGTAAATAAAATGATATAAAATGCATTCAAATATAAGGGCAGGTGCAGTCTAAGAGTTTTTATATTTTAATTTTTCTTTTATGTAGAAAATAGTTTTCAAAAGAGCTCATAATTTATATAGTATTCTCAGAAATGATAAAGACTTGCTTAAGAAAGAAGAAAAAGCAGGAGTATATAAAATTCCATTTGAAAATCAGCAATTAGGAATTAAGAAAGACTATATTGGGGTCACAAGAAGGAATTTAGCTATTAGACTTAAGGAGCACAAATATGACATTAATAAAGGGCACTGCAACATAGTTTTGTCAAGTATGGCACAAGCAGAGGACTCTGTAGTTAAACAGAGTGAAGTGACTATCATCAGGACTATGCATTCCCCATCAGC